GTAAAGAACAAATATGAATGTGAAATTCAAGCTTCTCGTCAACACTGTGAGGTACTGCTAACTTGTTAAAACTGACAGTTGATTGTCTATCTTTGAACTCTCTTGCATGTTAGTTAATGAGAAGTACATCTTTAGTTGTTGTTATTGCCATCATTTTACTATGGTAAGTAACTTCTCACTGTATTACTGTGAAAGAAACATATTATCAGAAACATCCTGAAAGTACATGTCAGCTTATCAGCTTGGCTTTGAATAAGCAAATTTAATATGTTTTCATTAACAGAGTTTGTTAAAGATTAAAAATTATTTTGGAAATTAGAGTTACATACTAGGCATCCAAGGAAATAACTATAGCATTATTCCACCATAAATACAACAATCATACTGCAATTTTTGGAATTGTTTTAATGTATAAAGCTTTTAACAACTGATAATACAGCCACTATTCAACAACTAGTACCAGAGGATTAGACATTTCTCAATTTTTGGATAATTTTTCAATTAATTTATTTAAATCAGGGGTGTCAAATCTCCTTGGGCCTACAGGCTAGATCCAGACTGTGGGGCTCCTCTTGAGCCAGATGTGGACGCACCTCTGGTAGTGTTAATCCACTAGAGGTTTTTGAGCCACAGGGATTAACATGCTTGTCCCTTGCCCTGATATAGCTGACACACATCCCCATTGGCTGTCTGTATGCCAGAATTCAATACTGGGCCCTATCCCTGAATTCTCAGCCCCTCTAGAAGCCCTGTGGGCTGGATGATATAGCTGTACTGGCTGGGTTTCATCTAAGTTAAGTGGGAAGTACTTGCATAGACAGAGTAATAAAATTGATTCTCTAGGTCTTGGATTGGATGGGGGAGACGCATCAAGGCCTATAAATTAAGATATACATTCTACTTGACCAAAAAACCAAAGGGTTTCTCTGAGCTTATGCAGTAATTGAAACATCTGGACAAATATAAATCTATTTATTCTTCAGATAATGTTACCTTTTTATCTAGATGTAACTTGGGTGACCTGTTGGATGTGACTGGATCCTGTTTCTGAATACGTTCTTCTAAGCTCCTTCCATTCGAGTGCTGAAAGTGGTTTTTCAAACTATGTATTTGGCATTTTTGACTGGTGGGACCTTGTTTTCCAACTGTTTAGACCTCATCCCATAGTCATCTTAATTACTCAGGTGCTTAGATGTGTTCTTCTGCATCCAAAGACTCACAGGGCTAATTTGTTTTGGTCAGAATCCTTTCATCCAGGGCCATCATTTAGGTTTCAGGGCTTCTTGCGACCTGGAGAACCTAATCCCAGAGGCTGGATCTGGCCCACAGGACTTGTTGCTAGAGGTGTTGCATCACAGCAGCTCCAGATCCCAGGGGGATAACAGTCCTGTCAAATTTTAGGAGTTTAGTTGCTCTTGGTGAATAAAATTGGCAGCGGGGGGAAAAGGGAGGGGGAGGTGGCTATGTTAACCCTCTGAGTTCTGGAGCCAAGCCTGCAGTGTACTGGCAGCTGTTGAGATTAATGCCACTGCTGCTGCTTGCAGATTGTCCAGCTCGTGAGAAGCCCCATGGTCCACATCCATCCTGTAGGATCAAATGAATTTGACACCTCTGCCTTAGGCTATATCACCATTCTAGCCTTCTTGCCATGAATGGCATGCTATGCTTATAGAGCATTCCTATAACATGGTCTCTCGCTTCCACCGGAAATCTCTTGGGCTTCTATAAAATATCCCAGCCTCATCTGTTTCTGTGAAGATATTTGTTTAAAATCAGCAATAGTGCTGGTGGCAAAACCATTGTTTTGCTGTAATGGGGCCAATCAATAGCTTTGTGTGTGCTATTGTAACTTCTCCATCTAGTCTGTCCTTTTGGTATCAAGTTCTTATTACAAAATTAATTCTCAAAATAATACTAGCTTTTGTATTAAAGAATGAAATGCATTATATTTGTAAAATAAAAATAATTTAATAAATACATTTCTTGTGACATTAGGCTTTCCATGTGACTCATGGAAATTAAAATAGATGTTGGAAAGACATTTCTAACAGGAGTTGTAGGCATTGTGCTCTTCCTTGGAATTTAAATATTTTGTAAGTTTGAAAAAGATGGTAAACATGATAGGATTTAAATACACTCAGTCTCCGTTATTGTCTCTCTTCTCCCCCACAAAAATAGGTATGTCCCACCACCACAAAGTTGTAACTAAATTTTTGGGTTTTTTCCCCCAGGTTTTTTTGTTTTTGTTTTTGTTTTTTTTTTACACATTAGCACTTTATTCTTAATGAAGACTTGAGTTGTCTTGTTTTCTTTCCTATTTGACTTTCCATAGCTGCTAATCTTGCGTTTCCTTAATAGTTTTTCCTTCTTTCCAATTCAGGTATCTCGTAGTATTTGAATCTAACGTACTTTTTTGACTCAGATCAAGCCTCCTTTCTGCATAAAAGAAATACTCCAGTGAAATCTTTAACACGTTTGTTGGAAGCTGACTGGCATAAAATAGTCTCAGGTCACTGAACTGCCTCAAGTAGTATATAAAATAGGACACAGCTACCAACATAGATCTTAAGTCTTCTTGTAACTGTCTCAGTCCTTCTGGAAATCATTAAATTATCATGCAATTAAAACAAATTAGACCCCTCCTGAAAACCCAGAAGTTAATTCCCATTTATACTTTGTCCATTTTCAGAAGAAGACTGTCAGCCAGATAAAAGGGTAGCAAATGTATTGTTTCAAAGTTCAGATCTCAAAATAATTTACAGTTGAAATATCTGTTCAGTAGGCCATTGTTTCCAATGCTCTTTGTATTCCATATTTGCTTCAGATCTTAAAAACAAGTTAATGGAGTACACCTCTATCCATAGTAGACCTCCTTTACTATTCACCACTGAGTTTTCTGTCATTAGTCATAGTAGAAAAACATACATTTGTGTCAGAGTAGAGATTGTATTTCTGGAGATCTAGCTTTTTTGCCTTGCATGCTTATCCATCACGCTAAGTTATTACCTTTGATCACTGAACATCTTGTATTCAGCCTGATATATCTGTAATAAATATTTGCTTTAAGTACCTAGGCTCTTCCACTGACAAAACCTGTGGATGAGGAACTTAAAGTAAAATGGGAAATGTGGCTCTAAACCATTGATGTAAGTTACATTTAGGTAACATTATGCATTCTTGTATGTTTAATTCTTGCCTTTTCCAGAGTGAAAAGCTCTTATTATATGATACTGTGCAAAGTGAATTAGAAGAGAAGATCAGAAGACTTGAAGAAGACAGGCATAGTATTGATATTACCTCAGGTAAATAGAATTTGAAAGATTTGTAAGCCCTCGGTTGTAGTCTGTTGTGTAGGTAATCCATCTGTGGACCTTGTTATACTCTAGAATCCTCATTTAGAATTGCATTCTAGATTTAATTCTAAGTCTGACCAAACTTAAACTTATATACAATGTTATTTTGGAATGTTCAGCATGCTTTGCCTCTGATTCTGAGGCTGTTAATTTTTCACTGTTGGTAAAAGTGTGTAATGGCCACCAAATTGAGAATACCAGGTCCAAGTCACAAAGTTATGTCTCCTACTTTTTCTCAGCCAAAAAATATTGAAAAAATATTAAAATTTCATGAAAAATGTGTACATTATCGCTGGCAAGTTTCTTTTGGTAAATGTGACATCTCTTATTAGACCTACTAAATAGTTGGAAAAATTGTTCTTTGCAAGGTTTTGGGCACGAACACGTGTCTTTAGACATAAGGAGAGTCTGCTGGTGTTGGTGGGCTCACACAGTCTCCTTCAATGGCCTTTTTGAGCAAGGGCATGTACCCATTATTGTAAAATCCTTGTTCTTGCTGCACAGCCTCCAGCTCGTGAAAATTACCTTCGTAGTCCGTCCTTCTTCCACCAGGCTGTATGGAGGATGATGCGGCACAGTCCATTCAAATTATGGGATTGCCTTTGCCTCTGTGTTGTGTAAGCTATTGTGTGGGCAGGCATTGTGCAGAAACACCATCTCAGACATGTCTCTGTTGGGCTCTTTGCATGCAGTGGTTCAGTTTTTTTTCAAAGTCTTGACAGACCACTGAGTTAACTGTGGCTGTCTTAAATAAGAAAAACACCCTTGATATCCATGGCTGAGAAGATGAAAATCAGGAGGTGTCACTTTGTGGCTCACGAAGCATGACACTGCAGTCTCTGAAGTGTCAAAAAATGATTTGTAGCGTTGTCTCAATTTTTTATTATGAAAACTAAACATGCAAATTCATGGTATCTAAAGAAAAATGTTCAACTAATGGAAGGTTTCTGAATGTATTTCTTTCAGAATTATGGAATGATGAACTACAGTCTAGGAAGAAAAGGAAGGATCCATTTAGTCCAGATAAAAAGAAACCTGTTGTTGTATCAGATATCCTTCCTCTAGCATTGTTATTTGATTATACTGTCTTTTTTAAAGCTGATCTTGCCAAACATCATAGTCTATTGCTGTATGACCAGCTGAGGCAATAATACAGTCTTAATGCTATTCACGGTAGGTAGATTTTGTTTGATAAGTCACCTTTTATATAATTTTGACAATCCAGAATAAGACTTCTGCTGCCAGAAAACTAGTTCATCTAGTGAGAGTGAATGCAAAAGTTACTGTTTTTAATTCCTTCTAATTTAGCATTTATTTCCAAAAATAGAAGTAGTCATGTATATTAACATTTCAGTTAAGGATGTGCTGCCATTTGTTTCAACTGATACATGGTACCAGCTCTAATTAGCAGTTTGCAAAGACAAAATTTGGGATCTTGAATTTGACACAGTTGCATATATATTATGTAAGATGACAAAGAGTGGATAACCTTCTAAAGAGAGTTTGGAGCTATTTTTACGATAATGTTATACATTATTTTAGTGACTTTAGAAATGAAGGCTCTAAAAAAATAAATTTAAACTTGTAGGTGATGGTTGCCATGGATACAAAGCTAAGGAAAGAATTAATAGCATGTGGTTGACCTGGTACAGTACTCAGGTAGCAGAAGAAGAAAAAGTGAATGATTCATGAGGCTGACTTGGGAGACATTTTGATAAAGGGGAAGAAAGAATGAAGGTAGTAGTTTCTTGGTCTGTGCCTCAAAAGTAACGATTAGTGACTTGGTTTTGCAAATAACGTGAAAGTTAGTAAGGTGATCCAAATAGTGACATGAATAAGAGCAAGTTGATGAGCCTGGAGACTAGAGAAAGAGGCTTCAGAAATGGTTTTCATTTCTGGACCATAGTTTAGAGGTGGGAGTGAAAAGAGACTTGTGCGTGTAAATGTTGCAAATCTGGCACCTTCAATTGCAAACCTCTGGGACAGACTTGTTCAGTGTTGAGCATACTTTTGGTTTCAGACAGAGTTTGATATTGGGCTGTACATAATAGGAGGGCAAGGAAACATAATGTGACAAAGGTTTAATTTAAATGATAGAGGTGAAAGCAGGATAGAAGATTAAAGATGTAACTTTAGATAGTGTAATTTCTTTATTGTGCTCTTCCTGCATAGGTGTTTTTATGTGGCTTTCTTTTAAGTTTCCTCTTCATTTACTTCAGTGTAAGAGTCTTGTGTTACTCTTTAGTTGCATGTTTTAAATTCCTGAAGTCAAGATTGTTAATGTTTAAAATTAAGGGGTAGGGAAATGTCTTGCTTCTAACTTGGTGGAAGGACTGAGGGACCTTAGGTATTAGCAAATTGAGCTATAGTTCATGTGTACCCTTTTCCCCCTTGCATTGAGGAGGTGAGAGGGTCAGGTGACTGAATCCTAAGAGTTAGGCTCAAAGGCCATTTATACACGTGCTGTGGGAGTGCGGTGGAGGGAGGAGTGTCTGGAGCATCTCAAGTATCAGCATCCTTTCGCTGAAAAATGGTGAATGAGCTTTAGTTAAAGTGCCCCCACCACCATTTTTCGGAAGGGGATGCTGGTACATGAGATGCTAGAGTCTGCTGGAGCACAGTAATTACCAGGTTCCCGCAGACTTGATTAACTGAGTGTGCTCTGCACTGTAAGTACAGTGTGTCAGAGCAGCCTTGCTGCTTGTGGATAGGTGCCCAAAGAGTATAAACAGATGTAGGCTGCATGACTAACTGCATATTTCAGGTTGAGTCAACAAATACCATTATATACCTGTGTAGCTACCAGGGAAAGGGTTCTATATATTCTTTTCCATTTTTACAAAGCCATGTAAGTAATCACAATTTTTTAGCATTTTCTCCCAGGAGAAAGTCTTCTGTTTTGGGTTCCTACAAACATACCAGTCCATTGTTCCACTTTAAATACCTGTGGACTATGTGAGAGAGTATGGTGGGGGAGGGGAGAATAATGTTGTGTACCTCTGTTGTTAATAGTGATTTGTGCAAGTTAACTGCCATTCATTTTGGGAACAAGCCTGTCAGGCTATGTGCCCTGCCCCTTTCACTGAACAGCAGTGCCGCTTTGGAAGGGCTACCTGTATGAAGGCCTGTGTCTCTTTTCTTTTGTTTCTGGTTTTGACTGAGATCAATCCTCAAATAAGATGTTTGTTTACAGCCATAAGATCCAACAGCAATAGTGGTTCTTGGCTTGAAGGCCATCTAACACTGCACCGAACCCAAATGAAAGCCTGACACCAGCAGAGTACTTTTCCCTGCTTTTGGCTCCCAACCAGTGTTAAAAGAATGTCTGTTTCATTCTTCTGCACATGCTGATCAGTGCTTTAATTGAGGTTCACTGAATTGGGATGGCTGCTTTACTGAAATATTTCCTGGAAAGATGGTTGATCTTAATGGTAGTGAATAGCAATGACAGTTCCTAAGTTAAGACAGTATTATAAATGTAGCTTAATGCTGATGCTTTCAGCTAGTGGCAGAAAGTTAAATGGCAGATGATCACTTTTTTCAGGTGTAAATTTACTCTGGTCTTTTAATATAGAAATTCCTAAAAGAAATTAAATAGCATGTGAGAAAATATAAATTCTTTATTCCTCAATGAAGGATGATCAGGTGCTGAATGTTTGAGGTGCAAGCTAAATAGTGTCAGATTTTACAGTGAATAAACTACACGGGTGACTTGTTTTAATATATATAAAAAAACTCCATTCAGTAAATTAGTAGTGATTTTAATGTTAAGTCTGCATGTGAAGTAGTTGTTTCAGGAAATGAGCAATACCTGAAATTTAATTCAAGATTGAAATATTATTTTAATAATCTCTGGTAGGTCTTCAAGTACCAAAATTGTGTTTACAAAGAGAATGGTAATCAACTAGTCTCTGTGTCCATAAATTCTCTCTAGTCGTATATTTGTCAGGTAACACCATTACATGTAATGCTATTTGGAATCTTACACCCTGATTCAGTTGTTCTGTTGATCTCGTCTAGAATAAAAACAAAGTTTTTAAAGAATTAATGAGCAGTGGGTATTAAAAGCATCAGTCCAGATCAGTTTCTTGAACTGTTTTAAAGCTAGTGTGCTTTTAAGCTCAGTAGTTAACTTCAAAATTTAATAATTTTAATATGTTTTTTCTTTAAACAGGCATACTTTATAGAACTTTTAGTGACAGAAAGAACTGAAGCTTATTGTAAAGTCATCCCAGTAAGATATTTTTTGCATCATTTGTAGTGTAGTAGGTAACAATTTATCATCCAAAGCTGATATTTTTTGACACGGCTTTCAGTGTTTAAATCTTTATTTCCTGAGTTTTGGATATTTGTGGGTTTGTTTTTTTTTTACATTACCATTTTTTCTATAGACTAGTACTTATGATTAGGAACCTACCTAACTTGTGAATTTTTCAGTTTTTTCGTGGAAGCTGTGAAATCCAGGTTGCCCAGAATCTATTAAAAAAAAACAAAACAAAAAACAAAAAATAAGGGGAAGGTGTCAGCTGGTGAGGCAGCACAAAAGGGACAACAGATAAGATGACTCTCTCCTCTTATCCCCCCCAGGACCTCTCTGCCAATCAGTGCTAAGGGGTGGGGCTGGGTGAAGGGCAACCAGTAGTCAAGATAGCAACTGCCCCTTCATCCCTCCTGGGACCTCTCCACCAATCAGCATCAAGGGGTGGGGCCTCCACAAAATGTCCATGAAATGGGCTCTTTATGCCAGGACAAATCTGCAAAAATAGTTTTGTCTTGGTAAGAGTTAAATGAATCCCTATTTATTAAGGTTAATGCTGCACTGGGGACGCTAAGTTAGATTCCTGCTGTCCATGAGGTAGTGAACTCTAATTTATTGTGATGTATTCTTTTTTCTTTTGCCATACAAGAAACAAGGATTATCTTGGTTTTTTCAAGTACAGACTGTATACATCAGAAAAATATCTAATCTACCTCCTTCTCCTCCCCTTCACCCAGCTCGATGTAAAAACATTCTGCCTAAATCATCCCAAACAAATGTTGGAAGGTTTTTAAGGACAAGTTAGACTATGATGGAGATTCCAAAACCAATTCTAGTACTTAACTTGTCTTATAGTTACAGAGTCTTCCAAATATCTAACCGAAGGGACTTTTTGCAATGTAAGCCCATTATTACTTGTTCTGTTCCCTGGGCACAGAACAATTGATCACCGTGCCCTTTATAACAAAACTTTTTTTGTATTTTAAGACTTAACAAATCCCTGCCTCAGTCTTCTTGTCTTCAAACTAAATAACTCCCAGTTTTTTCAAGTTTTCCTTACACATCATGTTTTCTAGACCTTTAATCATTTCTGTTGCCCTCTGCTGGACTCTTTCCAACTTTCCGTGTCTATTTTGAAGTTTGGTGTCTAAAACTGGACAGAGTTCTCTGTGAGGCTTCACCAGAGCTGGGTAGATTGGAAGGATCACTTTTTGTAGCTTGCATGCAGCACTTCTGTTAATACATTCTAATAGACTATTAGCTTTTTTCTTTTTTTTTATGTTAACTTGTTCACTGCTAACAAGTTAACATTAAACTGTTAATGTTAGTTTATTGTTACAAATGCACTGTTGACTTGTTCAACTTGCAGTCCATATCAGCCCCCAAATCCTTTTCTTCATTGTTGCAACCTTGAAAATCACTCCCCAAATGTCATCTGTGCATTTGATTATTCTGTCCTAAGTGCCGGAATGTATACTTTTCTATATTGAATTTCATCCAATTTTATTTCAGACCGTTTTCCTAATTTATCAAGGTGATTTTTTTTTTTTTTAATATCCGATTCTTTAAAATGTCTTCTACCCCAGCATTTTGGCATCATCTGCAGATGTAATTAACATGCACTCAATTTCATCCTCCCACTCATTAATGAAGATATTGAACAGTAACAGACTCCAGGGGAAACCCCCCTTGATAGCTCCTCCCAGTTAGATCTTGAGTGCTAACTATTCTTCCATCATGATGATCCAATAAGTTACTCCTATAGGGAATGTCATTGGAAAGCCTTGCTAACTTTGAAGCAGGTCATATCTACTGCTGTGCTACTCACAAAGCCAGAAACCTTTTCATAGAGGGAAATCAGGTTGACTTAAGTATATAGCCATACTCATTTCTGGTTGTTGTTGAGTTACTTTGTACATATTGTATGCTAGTTTCACTATTAGTAAAGGAATTTCCTTAACTTTTCAACGCCCCTATATAGTTTATATGTTACAGGACCTCGATATACTTGAAGACTGGACAACAATAAGGAAGGTATGACTGAAGGATGAATGTCAGCAGCATTGTTCCCAATTGTTATGGCTTTTACAAATATATAAATGTATTTCCAATAAATTTAAGAACCAAAATATTGCAAGGCAGTATTCCTAATGTGGGTCTACTACAGTTCTTCCCAGCCTATTCCTCAGGAGGTGGCAGCTGCTGTGGCTGGAGCAGAACACGGAGTGTAGCTTGCCCTGCTCCCCTCCCCACAACCCTGTGGGCAGCACAGCCAAAGTGGAGCCCAGTGGTGGTGGGAAGGATGCGGGCTGCCCACTGCGAGCTTGGGGCTCCCTGCCCTACTGCCCTTCCCCTGAGGGCCTCTACAGCCCAGCAGGGGGGACCTGGCACAGGAGGCCAAGGAGGCTTGGTGCTATTGCTGGGAACCTCATGCCAGCTGCACTGCCATGGTGGGGCGCCCCCTGGCAACCCAACAGTAGTAGTGGTGATGGCATGGAGTTGCGCCCCCTCGTTACTGGTGGACAGGCAGGGGGTGCCTTGCCATGGTGGCGCATCCAGCATGCAGCTTCTGGCAGGGACACGGAGCCTCCCTGCCCAGCACTGCTGTGGAGGCCCTGGTGAGGAGGGTCCCGAGAGAGAGAGAGAGTCCCAAGCCTGCAGCAGGCAGCCTGCATCTGCCTCCATCCCACGCATAATTCTCCCCTCCGTGGGAGTGCGCAACCCCATTTTTTATCATTGCGACCCCAAATGGGGTTGCGACCCCAGGGTTAGGAACCACTGGTCTAGTAGCTAGAGCATGGAAATAGGGTTCCAGTTCTAAACTAGATCTGAGGTAGATGTATCTGGTCTTGGCTATGTTGCTTAGCCTATGGACCTTAGTTTCCATATCTCTAAAATGAGTAATTCATATTCTGGCAAATTCAGTAATAAACTAAACCTACATCTGGATTCTGTGGCATTCTGCAGTAGTCACGAGGAAGTACTGTAGAATTTCACTTGCATTAAAAAAAAAAGATCTGAAAGCCTATCTATAAATCAGCATAGTAACTTCTCTTTAATAGTAAAATCAGCTTATTTACTGTTTCCCTATGCTTCTACTTTAATCATGCCATAGTTCTGACACAAACTCTCTGTAAGCCAGTGATTCTCAACCAGAGTACCATGGCCCTAGTGTGCCTTGAGATCCTTTCAAGTGTGCTGCAGGGTGCCACATAATGTTAGCAGTGTCAGGTTTGCCAATGTGATTCACAAGATAAACCAAGACACTTCAAAAAGAAATCCATAGTTGTGGTCTGTCTGGGTTGTTTCCAACAGAAAAACTGCTCTATTTATTTTTCTGTAGTCAAAAATAGAGTGAAAACTAGGAGCTGGCATTTGCCAGGGTTGCCTTGAATTTATCCAGGGGTGTCTCAAATATAAAAAATTTAATAACCATCGCTGTAGGCAAAATTCCATTCTTCCTACATCTCTTGGTGGCCAAATCTCCCTCCTGCTTAGTACCATGAATGAAACCTAGGAAGTAGCAGGTCACTAGGATGTAAAAGCAGTGCTTTCCAATCTGTAGTGTGCCAGATTACTTCAAGGAGATGTGAGTGAAGGAAAAGTTTCGATGTGGAGAAAGCTTCATGATGCTGAATCCACACTTCTTACTGTAAGCAGGTTGCTTTAAATTGCATGTAAAACTGGTTGTGTTTGACTGCACACCTGCCTTCCTCCCTTTCCTATGGAACCAAAGAAGGGAAAGCAAAATAAACAGATAAAAGCAGAAGATAGGAAAATGCTGAGAAACATGGAGAAAAAAACACTGGGTGGGAGGGAGAGAGAGAGGAAAATAGGTGTATGAAGATGAACAAAGCAAAAAAGTGGTACAGTTGCAACTGGTACAATATAGGCAAATACAGCACAGGTCAGGCTTCAGCAAAAGCAGGTTGGAGACTGCTTTGCTTTACTTACCATAGGAATTGAGCAGAATAGACACCTGCTCATAGAAAAGATTTCACCCTCAAGTGCATATAAAGTCATAGATTTCGTAGACATTACGGCTGGAAGGGACTTCGGAAGATCGTCGAGTCCAGCCTCCCGCCTGAAGGGCAGGAAGTCAGCTGGGTCGTAGGATCCCAGGAAGATAAGCATCCAATTTACTCTTGAAGGTGTTCAATGTAGGTGTGTGAACTACCTCTGATGGCAGGCTATTCCAGACCTTGGGGACTCGGACAGTAAAGAAATTCTTATGTCCAGTCTGAAACGGTCTTGCAGTAGTTTATAACTGTTCGACCTCGTCATCCCTTGGGGCGCTCTGGTGAACAAACGTTCCCCCAGATCCTGGTGGTCACCCCTGATAAACTTATAGGTGGCCATCAGATCACCCCTGAGCCTGCACTTTTCCAGGCTAAAGAGCCCCATGGCTCTCAGCCTGTCATTGTAAGGTGTGTTTTCCTGACCTCTGATCATGCACGTGGCTCTTCTCTGGACTCTCTCAAGCTTCTCCACATCATGGACGCAGTATTCCAGCTGCGGCCTCACCAAGGCCGAGTACAAGGGGAGAATGACTTCCTGGGATTTGCTTGAGAAGCATCTATGGATGCAAGCCAGCGTTTTGGTCGCTTTACTAGCTGCAGCATTGCATTGCAGGCTCATGTTCATCTTGTGGTCAATGATGACCTCCAAGCCTCTTTCTTCCGTAGTGGTAGCCAGCGTAGCACTGCCGAGCCTATAAGGATGCTGCAGGTTTTTTCTCCCAAGGTGGAGAACCTTGCATTTTTCGGTGTTAAACACCATCAGGTTCTCATCCGCCCATTTGCTGAGCCTGTTCAGGTCAGCCTGGATCACCCGTCTGTCTTCTGGTGTGGATGCTTTGCCCCAAAGTTTGGTGTCATCAGTGAACTTGACCAGTCCGCTTCTGACTCCAATGTCCATATCATTAATGAAGATGTTGAATAATGTGAGTCTAAAGACAGAATCTTGGGGGACCCCACTGGTCACAGGACACCATGATGATTGACTTCCATCAATTACTACCCTCTGGGTCAGACCAGAGTAGGTGAAGCAGATTACGCAAAGAAACTTATAGAACACAGTGGAACACAATTATAAGAATATTTTAAGAACCTAAATAGCAGCTTGTTTCTACTGCATTTTATTTTTTTGCAATCTTTGCATCTTTTGCAATTATAAGATGGCTTTAGTCATTTTATGTAATTTTGGATTCAGTTGGTATAGATATAAAATCAGTTATAAATTTTTGAGTAAAATGTCTTCTTGCTTTATTTACAATACAAGCTAATTAAGAGATAATAGTTTTTTGTACATATTCTGTGTATGCTTTTATTCAGCTATTTAGTCAGTGCTTTGCAGTGTTTGTGTAGACCCTGCTCTGATACATATAAATGCAGGTATCTTAAAATACATTATACTGAAATGAAGTAGTTTTACAAAAAGCTTTAGTTGCTGAAGAAGTAACTAACTTGATTTCTTCCTTTGTATTTCAAGGCAATGGCTACGTTGGGGCCACACAGAGTAAAGTCAGAACGTAAGTCACAAAAACACTTCAGTATTGCCTAGCTTTGTAAAATAATATTTAAACACAACAGCACACATTTCCTCTGGAGACTACATGTGTATTTGTAGAGTGCAGTAATGGAGGAAGAGGGCAGAGGGCTGTAGCCTGCCACCTTTCCTCTCTGATCTTGATGAAGCACATGCTTTTGCACCAGGGCTGCTGACTTAAATTTATATCCTATGCTTTTATTAGTTTTACAGCATGTACAATATGGGAAAAGATGTTTTTTAATGTTATTATCAACTTAAATGGTAGAAAAATACTCACAGAAGGAATGGGCCTTTGGTGAATGCATATATCAGGGATTGTCAACCAGGGGTACTTGCAAAGGCCCTAGGGGATATGCATGGGGATAGAGCGCTGCCACACACTGTCCTGTGCTGCCACATAGGCACTGTCTGCTTGGCCAGATGTGGGGGGTGGGGGAAGTGTTCAGCTGCCTGCCTTCTCCCCCGCCCCCAGCTCTGCATCTAGTGTGTGCTAATGTGTGTTCAGCTGTGCACACTCCCCCCCAGCTCTGCATCCGGCCATGCACTGCTACCTGTCTCCTCTGTGTCCAACTGCCGGGGGTACACTGATCCAAAAAGGTTTAAAACCCCTGGCATATATGTATTAATACAGCATTATCAATGTGGCCTCAGCGGCAGTACAGAGCAGGACATTGAATTCAGAGCTTGGGGTAACATTTGGAAAGTTTGATTTTTTTTTTTACTATGCTTTCTTAATTTGAGCAAATCAAAGGTAATGCCAAGGTGGCAGGCATGAAAATGTCTGTGCTAGGTGAAAAAGGAAACCAAAAAAGGTGTGAAGGAATAGTGGGGAAACTACACAGAAGGCAGGCAAGGATGTTCTCTTTATTTGGGAGGGTTTTATTAATGCCAGTGTATAGGGGAGGAAAGGAAACAAGCAGCAAAAGAGCCAACAATGGTGTTCAGTGCCTGCCATTTAAAATCCTACCACAAATATATCAGCTTCTCTTACGTTTTCCAGATTTCTCATTCTGTACAAAAGAGCTGCAGATCTGATGATGTCTTTTTCTTTCTGAAAATACAAATAGTGTTTTTCATGGAAACAAATACAACAGGAAATAAAAAAACAAAACAAAAACAAACACACCTTTCCTCTTCGCTTTCTTAACTTTCATTGGCCGAAGGACAGATGTAGATAGTATGTGGATAATTTATTTGTGAACCTAACTTATGCTGGTTCAGTATTAATGGTGTCTCTGTTCATTGCTTTAGCACCTGTCAAATTAGAAAAACATATGCACAGTGCTAGGTCTGAAGAAGGAAGACTGTATTATGATGGAGAATGGTATGGCCGTGGACAGACAATATGTATTGATAAGAAAGATGAATGCCCTGCAAGGTAAAGGTCATTTTGTTGCCTTCTCTCATTTACAGTAATATATGTGTACACGGAGTGGAGAAGTACATGTTTTAGTCGAGCGTTATTGCCTTCTCAATTACTGGTTACTGGTTTATTTCAGAAAATAAAATGCCTGCTTCAGGACATCTGTTTGTTTTCCCTAACTATGTAAATGCTGCCTCATGGAACACACAGAGATCGTTGATAACCAATGCATAAATAATAGTATAAACCAAGGCAACCTGAGGCCTGTGGGTCAGATCCAGAGCAAAGCAAAGCCTGGATATTGACAGCAGTGTGGTAGTGGGGTGGGAAGCACCAGCCTGCCACAGAATGAGCAGTATTACTTTGGCCCACTGCTAGGCCCACTACAAGGTTGCTGACCCCTGGTTAAAAAAAATACTGTGTCTCTTAAATCTAGACTTTTATACCATATTTAAGATGGTAGAGGTATGTCTACATGGCACATTGTGCTGCTGTGCAGACATAGCATATTTATAATTGGTGGTATCTTATGTACCAGAAATCTATACAGCATAAGGTAGTGCTGTGCAGAGAGGTCTAAGCTACCTCTGCACATGCTATTTCTACTTCCAGTACCATGAGTGAAATTGCTTTCATATAGTGAGTGAAATTGCTGTCCTTATATTTGAAGAGCTCAGCACCGTATGAATTTGCTCTGAAGCTGAAACTTAAGGGACATTTTCCTTCCTGTACTGGATCCTGACACTTTAAAGCAGGCTTGTCCAACTGGTGGCTTTGAGGACGCATGTGGCCTGCTGAGGGTTAATTTGCAGCCCCTGGGCTCTCATTTGGACTCCCCTTCTTCCCTCTCTCCATCACACTGGCTTCAGCAGCAGCTAGGGTCTCCAAGTTCCCCCTGCCTCTTCTGTTTTCCACTTGCTGCCCCTGCCCCAGGGAGTTTGGTGGTATGGCATGGCCCAGGGCTGCCATGCAGTGCGGTTCAGTGGGGGAGCCCACAGCTGGGGACCCCAGGGCAGCTACACGGCATGTGGCCCAGGGGGCTCATGTCTTCTGCTGGTGTAGCCCACAGGGTGTATAGCCCCGGCCACTTGGATGTTGGACAGCGCTGCTTTATAGGGGTGCATTGATAGAGATTTTTGGGGCCGATACTGATTGCTGATTTTTAAGGAAGCATATCAGCCGATACCGATCCAATTTCCAATTATGCAGCTCTTCAGCTTGAAGAGCTGCATTTAGCTGGTAAGTTTGGTGTGGTGGAAGGGGAGGAAAGAGGTGTGTGGAGGGGCAGATCAAGGTCCCTGCGGTGAGGGAGGGAATGGGGCAGGGGCAGGCACTGACTAGCCGGGCCGGAGAGGGGCATGGGACAGAGCTGCAAGCAGCTTGTCCAGGGCCGGGAGGCATGTGCCCCCCAGGAAGCACGTGGTATGGGGTGGGCTGCAACTGCAGGCTGTGGCTGAGGTGGGCATGGGATGGAGGCATGGCTCGTTGCGGGGGTGGCGCTCACTGCTGTGAGCAGCTTGTCTGGTTCTCATCTGGTGGCTTCTGCTATTTCTACTGCTTGTCCGGGAGGGCAGTGGGGGTGGGGAGGGGGGCGTGTGCCCCCAGATCTGCCTGGCTGGGAAGAGTCCAGCCCCAGCCTGTCCTGCTTTGCCCCAGCCCGTGCAGATCTGGTGGTACATGTGCCCCCCATGCCTTCCTGGGAGAGCAACAGGAGCAGTGGTGAGAGCTGCCAGACAAGCACTGGATGAGCTATGCACAGTGGTGGGAGCTGCACCCCCACTTCCTTTGCCCACCCTGATCCCGGCTGGGCATCCCCAACCCTACACCATCCCTCACCGTGGGGGCCTTGATCTGCCCCCCCGCATCCCTCCCTTTCCTCTTCCACTATACCAGACTTACCAGCTGCCAGCTCTGGTTCTCACTGCCTTTGTGCTGTGCTGCAGCTGTGCGCATATACAGGCATTTATTGGACAAATTATCGGCCGCATTGGGCCGATTTCTGATGTGGAAAATTTTCTTTATATCAGTGCCCATCTGATATAGAGACCGATACAGTTCTCTTTGGTTTACTTGTTTGTCAAAGTAATAACGACCAAGCCTGCATGCCACAGACAATCAAGTTCCATGTTTTGTTTCAGTCCTTTATGCAAAAGGTCCAAAGAAGAGAATAGAGCGTGCCTGAAAACTTAGAAAACCTACAGCTCCAGAATATATTCTTACTAATGTTTAACTAAGGAAACCATGCAAGGAGAAATAGTTCATGTAAAAGAGTTGGTTAGCCAGGTGGTTCAGTGGGGTTTTTTTTGTTTTGTTTTTGTTTCGTTCTTTCCTGTTTAGCTATACTGGCTAACGGTTAAAAACGTAAGTTTTTCCTAACTTTTTCTCTACTGAAAAGCATCTTGGCTTTGACCTGTTAGGTTTTTGTGAAGGAATCCACTATAAGCTGGTGGACAGTGACAATAATTTTACAAGGATTTCAGAGGCAAGCATATATTTTTTACTCTGAATGGTCTTTAAGGCAAAAGATGCATGTCCTTTTGACAAATGAAAATAAAAATCCATTATACTGCACAAAGACACGTAAGTGAAAAGTTATTACTAAAGATGTAGTGAGTCTTGGATATACGCATGTCTTTAGTTGAATGCAAAAATGGAGAAAGTATGAAGGAGGCAGTCAGTATTTTTTTCTGAGCTTGGCATTTCTGAATGCAAGCAATTATATGCTATGATACTCAGCAATGAGATTGATCCATTGGTTTATAGTATAGTCAATTTTAAGTCTGAATGGTGAAATCTAATTTTTCCTTTTAGTGCTATCATTACAACAATTAACCACGATGAAGTTTGGTTTAAGAGGCCAGATGGAAGCAAGTCCAAACTGTATATTTCCCAGCTGCAGAAAGGAAAGTATTCAATAAAACATAATCATAATTGACCATTTCTAACCACACGTGTAATAAGTGGTGTTACTATGCTTGATGTGCCATGGGATGAAAGCTGTATTTAATAATGTTTTGTATTCTCCTTAATTTTATGGCAATATCCAATGTGTACTTGTAGTGCTGTATGTAAAGCTTCATATGGATGTCCTTTAATAGGTGGTGACATTTAATCATGTTGACAGACATTTTACCTCTAAATTGGGTCCAGTGCCTAAGATATGAAGTATGCCCTTCAAATATAAAGGCTAAGAACTCCTCATTAAATACTGTATATTTAAAATATAAAACATTTACTTTTATTATTAGTGGCTAGATTGTGTGTGGTAACTGTGCAATTATCACTTTTACTAGCAATTTATTTTCATATGTTCAGTGAACTTGTCATACTTGTCTTGTGGGTGTTGGTGGGTGTTCTCAGATGTTGCTTCTGAATAGTCTGCAATGGTATAAGTATTCTTTTATCTGATGTGAACAGAATTTCTTAAACTTGAGACCCTGAACAGCTTTGCTAGTGTTGGTGTGTAACCTTTTGTAAGTTTTCCCATACTACTTGTAAAAAATAAAGGCAATATTTTAAGATAAATTTTTGAGGAGCACTTTCTTAGTCTAGGAACCTAGTTTATAGTAACCAAACTCATGGTTTTCTTTTTCAGGTTACTTTAAAATTCTAGCATAAAGTCAATGTAAAGGAGACAGCATTGTTTTTACTTATATTTTATGTCAACCACAGAGGGCACAGGTGCCTGGGGTTATTATGTAAATGGTAAACAGTTAGCTAAAAGTACTATTACATACTGGACTTGTCTGATCTATAGTCTTATGAAACAAATATTATTATATTTTTTCAGAAGTAAAACTTATTCCCAGAAATGGTATTTCTGGGAGAAACTAACACAGCTCTCAAATGGCATGTTTCATATTTTTAGTAGTTTAGTTCCATTAGAATGATTTAATGCAGTTCAGAAAGTTTGATGTCTGTTAAAGCTTACCTTCAAGGTGTCAAGGGCAGAATCCCTGAAAACCTTAGTGTTACAGTACATGTTTAGAGCATAGAAAATAAACAGGTGGGATTATAGAAAAATAGTTTTCCTGGTGGCCTCGTGCACTTTACGATCCATTGTTCTGAGATTCTTTTTGGAGAAAGGAAGAATGATACATTTTGTTTTAATTTATCATGGCAAAAATAGTTTTCATTGTCCCACCATTAATAGTTAGACGTTTTACTCCTAACTGAAATATCTGTTGTTGCAGGGTGGTAATTATTTACAGTTGCCAAAATATTATGCCATTCTAGTTTATCTTGAACGATGCTTTTCTATCACTGTCACGTTACTATTAATTAATTGTACATTGACATGTTGGCTATTGACAATACTACTGTATGTACACAGTTGTTTGATAATTTTTTGTAATAAAATATTTGTATTTTTTAACTCGGTATATAAATAAATGATGTGTGGTAATGGACATTTTACAGTTGCTTTTTTCCCCTTCATGGCTGCAGATGTAGCCAGTCTTGCAGAGAAAAAATATTTTAAAGTCACCTAAAAATGTGCATTTTTCATAGAACCTAAAAGAGGGAAAACAGGTATTTAAGTATGGAAAATTTCCTTCTAATAAACCTATATTTTATTGTTGTAGTTTATCTGTGGACTTACTTTAATATTACATCAAAAATTATGTCTCCTTTAATTAAAAAAATAAATAAATCCATTAAACCAGAAAAAAGATTTGAACTATGGCATGGCAGACTTAGTAGAAAATGTAGTTATTTAAGTCAGTCAAGAGCAGGGTATAGTGAGCTTTAGACATGGGATCTAACCAAGTTAGGTGAATGAGCAGCTTAATTTCAAATAAAATTCTGTGCTGCAAAAGCTAGGCAGCACCTACACTGGGAAGAATAATTTGAACTACTCTTACATATTAGTGAGTTCCAGATCTAAACTGCAGCTTCTTGAGGAAAACATCTGAACATTATTGTCAGCAATATTAACCTGTCAAATATGCCGTCCAGGTTTAAAGCAGCATTTCTTAACCTGAGGGTTGCAATCCAAAAGTGGGACGCAAGAAGATTTCAGAGGGTTGTGAGCCACAGGTTGAAAAATGCTGATCCCAGGAAATCACGGAAACTGGCAGAGCAGAGTGGCAGTGGAAAGGTGCGTGCCCCTTCCAGAGGGGGACGGGTGGGGGAGAGGTTTGAAGCTGGGCTGGGTGCTCGCAGGGGCAGGGCAGCTGGGAGGTGCTGCTCAGGAGGCAGAAGGGGCTGTGACCTGTTTTGGTGTGGCACAGCAGCCCTAGCCTAGGGTGGGAACTGACACAGGCCTCCCTTTCTCCTCCCTCCAGCCCACACTGGGGCTGGCTTCACTCTGCTGCCGCCCTCGTGAGCCAGAGCCACTACAGCCACCATGCTGTGGCCCAAGCTGGGGGCCCTCCTTGCAGGGGTGGGGGTGGAGGGTAGTGAACTGTGGATTGGGAGTGAGGGACACCAGCATGGGGACTGTGGGCCATGCACCAGCAGGGCCAGGGGCTTGTGGGTCGGGACAGGCCATGAACCTTTGCAAATGGGTCCTGGTAGGAAGAAGGTTGAGAACCACTGGTCTAAAGTATACAGTATTATGCTGTGTCAATGGAAAATGATACTAAAATGTCATTAAATCAAGGGTATACCCCCCCCCCCGGAGCACTATATCTTAAAAGCAGCAACAGGTACTTTAGAGCAGTGATAAGATTATTTACAGGCATGGAAGTAACTTCAGTATGAAGAGAGATTTAAAAGATTCTGGCTGCTTATATTAAAGAGGAGAAATGGTAAGTTAGACAGTGGTGTACTGCAGCCAGAGCAGGCAATTGTTCGTCCTTTCTTATACTGAAAGTACATGGGGGCATGCAATGAAAAGGCAGCAGTTTTTAATAAGGCATGTAGGGCATCAATAGTCTGCAGTGTTTGTTATCAGAAGTTATTGAGAACACCGTTTAGAAGCTTGTGAAAAAGATTTCAGTGCCAATGTATCCTTTTTACGTTAAGTATAAAAAAAGTTTCCATGCAAAGATTAGAACTCCCTATTAGTTGACAAGGAGAAAATGCATCAAGTAGCTTAGTGCTTTTCAGTCGGTGTGCCACGGCACACCAGCGTGCCATGAAGAGCTCCATGGTGTGCTGCAAGAATTTTGGAATAATGAGAAGAAAGCTCTCCAGCTGCCTAGCACTAACGAATCAGCTACATCAGTGAGATATTTACAGAAGACTTGCGCATGTGTTGGCGGTGGGGGAGAGAGAGAACCAGCTGAGCAGAAGGAAATTCATCTACTTTGCATGTGTTGGCTATGGGGGATGCATAGTTCGAGAGGCTCTGAATAGGTATGCCATAGGATTTTGCTGCGGCAATGAGCTACTCATAAGTATGGGCATGGGGAATACTTTAACAGGTGTGCCACAGAAATTTTTTATTAATGTAAGTGTGTCTTGGGCTGGACAGGATTGAGAAACATTAAAGTAGCTGGCTCCATCCAGGAAGCAGCAGTTAATAATGAAATCCTAATATCTCCATTCATTTTTAAATCTCAACACTAGCAGTATTTCTGCCTCCATCCACTACTTTACTTTGCTTTATTCTAAGATACACTTATGTCCATTTGAAAATCAAAACCTTATGTATAACAAATTGAAAGTAGTCACAGAGTAGTTATCTTCCAGTGAACTCTGTTTTAAAATTGTGTATATATGGTAATTTATAGGGAGGCATGCAAGTTACCCCCTTTTTTTTAGTTTTCATTTTTATTGAGCATGTGAGACTGTCCTGTTATGAAAAATATTTTAAACCACCTAAACCTTCAGTTATGTTCCCCCCCTACCCACTGATAAATTAAAAAAAAACCCATACTTAAAAGCTGTAGTTTGAAGAAGTAATAAAGTAAAACTAGAGTAAGATACTTAAACTGATTTATTGTCTGTTAAACTATAATGTAAATGTGATAACACTTAAATCAAATTACTGGTTCTGAAATGCATATAGCTCCTTTGGTACCAACACAAGTATGCTACTGCAAGCTCCACATGTCTTCCCAAATAGTGTATTAATTTTTAAAGGAAATTCATTTTAAATGTTAAGGTCCTGCTTCAGACACAGCTCCTCCCTTCTGATTTGTGTAGGTCACTCTGAATCCTAGCCCTACCCTCCAGCATATCAACTACTGCCCCCACCTTGGCGTCATCTGCAGACTTGCTGAGGGTGCACTCTGTGCCATCTTCCAGGCCACTGATGAAGACATTGAACAAAACCAGCCCCAGGACCGACCCCTGGGGCACTTCACTTGATACCAGCTGCTGACTAGACATCAAGCCATTGATTTCTATTCTCCAAACTGTGCTGCCTGCTGCAGTAGTCTGGGAGCTGACCTTGCCCATGAAGGCCGAGGCAAAAGGCATCGAGCACTTCAGCCTTTTCTGCGTCCTGTCACAAGATTGCCTCCCCCATTCAATAAGAGACCTACACTTTCCCTGATCCTCCTCTTGCTATTGACATACCCGTAGAAACCCTTCACATCCAGTGCTAGCTGCAACTCCAGTTGTGCTTTGGCCTTCCTGACTTCATCCCTGCATGCCTGAGCAATGCTCTTATATTCTTCCCTAGTTATTTGTCCAATTTTCTACTTCTTATAAGCTTCCTTTTTGTGACTTAGTTTACTGAAGAGTTCCGTAAGCCAGGCTTACTAGTCTTCCTGCACATTGGGATGGTTTGTTTGTTCCTGCACTCAGTAAGGCTTTTTTAAAGTACAGCCAGCTGTTATGGACTCCTCTTCCTCTCAGACTGGCTTTCCAGGGGATCCTGCCCGTGAGTTCCTGAGAGAGTCAAAGTCTGCTTTTCTGAAGTCCAGGGTCCTTACTGTGCTGCTCTCCATCCTTCCTTTCCTCAGGATCCTGAATTCAATCATCTTGTGGTCACTGCTGCCCAAGTTGCCATCCACTACTACATTCCCCACCAATTCATTCCTGTAACATCTCCGATAGAAGTCAGTTTACTCGATACAGAAATGAAAAAGTCTGTCAAATGTTACCATTTAGCAAAATTGGTATTAAAATTCTTTAAAACCTAGGCATAGTGACAAATGTGCATCTTTCTTGTATTTTAGCATTACTTGCTGAAGCTACAATAGGTGAAAAAATTAAGAGGATAGACACTCAAGACAAGGTAAAGGATTTGAAATTTTATTGATGATCAAATCTTTCAATGGCAGTCAAGCTTTAAGTGTATGATTTACTTGGATTTCACAGTACCAGAAATCTGTATTCATTCCATCCAGGAAGAGCGCACACCAACTGCAGATGCTTCCTTAGCCTGACAAAGGGTTTGTAAACCCAAAAACTTGCTAAGAAAATTTTTTCCAACTACTTAAGTTGGTTTAATAAAAAATATCAGATTCACCCAAAGAACCTGGTCTGCTTATGTCCTTAGAACAGCACAGCTACAACCTATACCCAAGCGCAAAGTCCTGCACTTAGGATGGAACAATCCCATGCATCAGTACAGGCTGGGCAACAGCTCTGCCGAAAATGACCTGGGGGTTGCAGTGGACAATAACATGAATATGACCCAACAGTGTTCCCATGTTGCCAAGAAGGCTAATGGCATACAGGGCTGCATTGGTAGGTGTGTTGCCAGCAGGTCAAGGGAAGTGATTATTCCCCTCTCTATTCAGGACTGGTGAGGTCACATCTGGAGTACTGTGCTCAGTTTTGGGCCCCCCACTAGAGAAAGGATGTAGACAAATTGGAGGGAGTCCAGTGGAGGGCAGCAAAAATAGTGAAGGGTCTGGGGGACATGACTTATGAGGAAAGACTGAGGAAATTGGGTTTATTAAGTCTAGAGAAGTGGAGACTGAGAGGGGACTTAATTAGCAGCCTTCAGCTACCTGAAGGTGCGTTTGTAAGAGGATGGAGCTAGACTGTTCTTAGAGGTGGCAAATGACAGAACAAGGAGCACAATCTTAAGTTGCAGCAAGGGAAGTTTAGGATAGATATTGGGAAGAATTTTCTCACTAGGAGGGTACAATGGAACAGGTTACCCAGGGTTGGTGGTGGAATCTGCATCCTTGGAGGTTTTCAAGACCTGGCTAAACAAAGCTGTGGTGGGGATGATCCTTCTTTGAGCAAGGGGTTGGAGTAGATGACTTCCTGAGGTCCCTTCCAACCCTAACTTTCTATGATTCTGTGTGAATCTTCTTCCTAGTTTGAGCAGCATAGCTGCTTTCTAGGTCTTCCTAGTTTAAGCAGGTTGCTAGTAATTTGAGAAGCTGAGGATAATGGACTTTTGGGATACTTTGGTGACAAAAATGAAATGGAGCCAACTACAACACTGTGTGTTCTGTTCAAAGTATGGAGTACGGCCATAAACTGAAGGAGAGCAGATTTACATTGGACATCAGGAAGAAATTCTTTATAGTGAGGGTTGCCAATATATGGAATGGGC